ACCCCAAGCCTGTAACGTTGCCTGCGGTTGTTGCGGCCAAAGTGCAGGACCTGGCATTTGGCCTGTTGAAATTCATCCTGTTGGCTTCAGCCCAGCTATCCAGCCTGTCCAGTTCCCTCTGTAGGGCCTCGCTACCCCCAGGCCGATTGACACTTCCAGTCAACATGGTGTCATCTGCAAACTTACTGAGGATGCACTCAATGCCCTCATCCAGGTCACCAATAAAGACATGGAAGAGCACAGGCCCCAGCGCCAACCTGAGGCATACCGCTTGTAACAGATCGCCAGCTGGATTCAGCTCCGTTCACTCTCTGGGCCCGGCCTTCCAGACAGTTCCCTACCCAGCCTAGTGCCTATCCAAGCCACGGGCTGCCAGCTTCTGCAGAATAGGCAGTGTCAAAGGCCTTGCAGAAGTCTAGGTAGAATACATCAGCAGCCTTTCCCTCATCCACCAGATGGGTTACTCCATCATAGAAGGAGATCAGGTTGGTCAAACAGGACCTGCCCTTCTGAGCCCAGGCTGGCTAGGTCTGATCCCCTGGTTGTCCCGCGCATGCCGTGTGATCAACCTCAAGACAATCTGCTCCATAACCTTCCCTGGCACACAGGTCATGGTAGCAGGCCTGTAGTTCCCCAGATCCTCCTTACAACCCTTCTTGTAGATGGGATCACACTGGCAAGCCTCCAGTCTTCTGGGACCTCACCAGTCAACAAGGAGCGCTGATAGATAATGGCAAGCGGCTCGGCTCTCACCTCCACCAGTTCCCTCAGCTCTCTGGGTGAATCCCATCCGGCCCCATGGACTTGTGACAGTCCAGCTGGAGTAGTAGGTCTGTGACTGCGTCCTCCCCAATTGCGGGAGGTTCTGTCTGCACCCCAGCCGAGACTACCAGGTCAGAGAGTGGAGCACCCTGAGGATAACTGGTGTGACCTTTAAAGACAGACGTAAAGAAGGCATCCAGAACATCTGCCTTTTCCTTGTCATCACTGGTCACATTCCCAGCCTCCTCCAGTAAAAATGAAGATTCTCCTTAGTACTCCTCTTACCACTGATGTATTTGTAAAAGGCTTTCTTGTTCCTTTTTACCCTAGCGGCCAGGTTGAGTTCAGTCTGGGCTTTTGCCTTTCTGACTTTCTCTCTATACATCTTAACAACTTATCTGTACTTTTCTGAGTCGCCTGTCCTTCTTCCACAGGCGGTAGATTCTCTTTTTCTCCCAAAGCCTCAAGAATAGCTCCCAGTTCATCCACACTGGTCTTCTTCCCCGCCGGCTCATTCTGCGGCTCAGGGGACAGCCAGCTCCTGTGCCTTTAAGACTTCCTTCTTGAAGAGTGACCAGCCATCTTGGACCCTTCACTCTCTGGGAGTGAAACCTAGGGCATTTCCCCTAACAGCCTTCTGAATAATTCAAAGTCTGCCCAGAACTCCAAGGTAGCAGTTTTCCTGTTTCCTCCTCCTGGCTCCACCAAGAATCGAGAACTCTACCATTTCATGGTCACTCTATCCAAAACAGCACCCGACCTCCACATTTCCCACCAGACTTTAAAAAAACTGGGAGTTCTGTAAGGTTAATTATGCCTGGTGTCTGCAGGGAACTTAGGCCATCTACCGCCCACATGTTGCCCCACTGCAGCAGCTCAGAGTCCCCTTCCAGCCCTCTTCCTTAGGGGTCAGTGCAACAGAGACTCTGAGTCTTGGGGAAGGGCAAGTGTGGGGGATAAGAAAGAAGAGGTCATAGGAGTGTGATGGAGATGGGACTCTTCCCAGATGACAGTGAAATCATGGGATTCTCAGTGGTGGAAACAAGCTGGATGTTTCAGGGGAGCTGCAGAGCCCCTGTGCACCACAAATGGACACAGGTATGTCTGACTACAGACACAGCATGGTGGTGCCTGCCCAGCTGTGATGATGATGGAGCCATCCTCCTCCACTTTTTCCTCCAGAAGGGGATCTATCTCTGTGGGCTCCATATCACTATCAGAGATATCAGAATCCATCAGGTCCAGGTCACTGCTGCTCCCAAGAAGCCAGAGCATATTAGTGGTAGAAGGAGGTGACCTCCTCTGTTTGAGAAAGTTCCTGCATCCCAAAGGTAGGTGAGGAGATCTGTGATAACACTCCTCTATCCTCACAGCATTCTGCTTATAAAGGCAGACACACATCAGTGATAGGAACCCCAGAGGTGAGGTTCCCCTGTTTTCAAGGGCTCAGAAGGTTAAGCAGATACTGCAGAAAGCCAGAGCCGCTGCCCTCTCGATTCTAAGAGTGTCTCATACTGACCAAAACATGGCTGTGCTGGGTCTGAGAGGCCTACAGCCTGAGAGGTGCCCTAGTTTTGAAGGAGAAGGAAAGGTGCATACAACCAAAACATGCTCAGTGAGCTTGGCTGTCCAGGTGGAACTTGACAGTCCCTGGTATGTCTCTGATGCATGCAGCTATGTCTTATGTCAGACACAGTGCTATGGCTCCTGTCCAGCCCTGATGATGGTGGATCCACTTAGATGACTTCATCCAGAAGCGGATCCATCTCCATGGGCTCCACGTCACCATCAGACATCAGTGATCATCAGTTCCAGGTTCCTGCTACTCCTGAGAAGCCAGAGCTTATTAGTGGGAGGAGGATCCCACACCTCTTACTGAGGCAACTCCTCAGTGCCTCCCACACGTTTGCAGGCAGACCACTCTCTAATAAAACTCATCTTTGCTCAGAATTCTCTACTTCTAGAAGCCCAAATTGCTCAGCTACTGGGGTTCTAGCTGAAGGATCCCTTTATTTCTAGGGAGCCTAGGATATGCCTGTTGGCCTCCTCCTCTTGTGATCAGAAGAGAAGGCAGAGAGGCATCCAAGACAGCAGGCAGCTACGGTCATGCCATTTTAGCAATGTCCCATGCTGACCAAAACATGGCAGTGCTGAGGCTGAGAGCCCTATGGCCTAGGTTTGAAGAAGGAAAGGTCCACACAGTTCAGTGGGACAAAGAGAAAAAACCTGGCATTACCAGTGATAAGCTGTATAGGACCTCCTTTACCAGAGCACAGCTGCAGGCAATTCCAAAACGTTCAAAGTCATACAAGGCAACGCAGGAGGCTGGCTTGACCGGCTGGCCATCTTCTTGTGCCACTTGGGTGACAAGTGTGCAGGCACTGGAAGTGACGCTGGGCGCTGCAGGGCGACTGCAGCAATGCTGTCCGTCACTGCGGGATGGAAATTTGTGTGACAAAAGCTCACCCAGAGGTGAAGCCGGCCTGCGCCGTGAAGAGCAACAAAAAGGCCTATTTAAAACATTTTAACTGCAGCAGGAGGAGCAGTGCTAGGCCCAGCGGGTTTGGAATTTGCAGCAGAAGGGCTCCGAAGCGCCTGGAGCTGCGTGGGACGGCTCAGCCGGCGCCCGCAGCCGCAGCACGTGGCGACAACGGCGGAGCTCGGCGGGAAGCGCCGCCACCGCAAATACCGCGAGAACAGCAAATCCCGCCGCGTGTCTCTGGCTGCCCGGCGCTCCTGCCCCGCCCCGCCTTCCCGCCCTCTTGCCTCACTGCTCCCCGCTCCGCTTCGAGGCTGAGGCGCGCTCGGCCCCAGCAGGCAGGGCGAAGGCGCTACAGACCTCGCGGGGACACAGGAATCCTAGTGCAGGCTCTAAAGTATATTAAAAAAAAGCCGGCCTTGTGTGGAGGCCCTGGCTTCTTTGCCGTTTGATGCCTTTGTTTCGCTGAGGGTTTCCGAACAGCACAGCCTTACAGTGTGCTTGCTAGTCCACAACACTGTAGCCATAGCATTCACAGCTATGACAGTTTTAGCAGGGGGCATTAATCACATAACTGAACGACTGTATTTGTAAAATACGCGACTGACACATATGGTATTTCTGCTTTTTCGAACCAGCAGTTTCAAGGATAGGTTACAGAACACAAACGGGTTGTGCTCTATTTCAGAGCAGTTCCCTGTTTCTGATGCCTAACGCAGGAACAACCTTCCACTCTACTGTAGGGTGGCACAGCGCTGTGCTGCCTGCCCAGAGCTGATTCGGTGAATCCATCCTCCAGCGGTTCTTCCCTTAGAGTAAGATGCACCTCCACGGCTCCACATTGCCATCAGGAACGTCAGCGTTCATCAGCTGTGACAGAGAAGGGCCGGGGCTTTGGGAAAGGCTGTGCCCCAGGGCAGTGGGCACGGCGCTGAGCTGCTGAGTTTGAGGAGAAGTTGGACTGTGCTCTTGGAAACATGGTTTGAATTTTGTGAGGTCTTCTGCATGGAGCAAGGAGTTGGACTCCTTCTGGGTCCTATCTAAGTTGGTATTCTGTGATTCTATGACCAGCGTTGAAGTTGTGTGATTTGGTATTTCATATGAATTTCATGATGTATTGCTGAGTGCAGCGCTAGGTCGTCTGCAAGTAGATGTGATGAAGTAGATTTTGTGTTTCTGGGGCTTTTGTTTTGGGAGGATTCTGTTGACAGTGAAGTGTGCTATGCTGACAGATAGTGAAATTAAATCTTCCAGGTCAGCCAAAAATAGGTGCAACATGATAAGCGTAGTCTTCTTTGGTCTTCTGATACAGACTGGAGGTAAAATTCAGCTGCTCATTCAACCTTAGTTCCTTCTGAGCTGGACAGCACACAGCTGGCTATGACTTTTTTAGTTTTGATTATGAGGTTGGCCAGCTCACTTTGAACTCAGCTGAAAATGTAAATGTGTAAATGAAAGTGGCTTGGGATTATTACAAAGCTAGGCAGAATTTGAAGTGGTGACTCACCTTCCATATTGTATTACTAGTATTGTCCAGCACATGAAACCCAGTGTTTCCCCAGGTATTTCAAACATCCTGAACGTACTTACAGCACTCTGTGATTCTCCACTACGTTTCAGCCATAAAAACATCAGCATATACTGTGCTCTGTCTGAACACAGGTGGGAATTGACTTGTATAACCATCAGTTAGAAGTCCAGAAGTGACTGCGTAATCTTTAGCTAAACCATTGTTTTGTTTCATTTTCTGTCTCAACAGGATCCAACCGCTGCATCTATTTCGGACAGAGACTGTGATACAAGAGAGGGAGAGACTGTAGCCATGAACTATAAGCCGTCCCCACTCCAAGTGAAATTAGGTGAGTCTTTGCTGTTGGAGGGTGAAAAGACTTAATCCAAAGTCTGAAATACAGTGGTGTACTAGTGAGATCATTTACAGATCTCCACTCATAGACATGAGTGAGAATCATCAGCTGAACATGCCAGATCAGCCCACGGAACTTTTTATCAGTATGATTCTACTGCTCAGGGAACTGATCTATAAACATTCAAGGGCTTCCTGTCTTGGGATGTGGTAGAAACCTTCTTTGAAAAGGTGTATTTTTTCAAACCTACAGAATTTTATCATATTGGCCAGGAAAAAAAAAAAAAAGAATGAATATAGAGAGGCTATAAAAAGAAAACATGACTACAAACAAAAGGGAAAGGATCAGAGACTTGGACATCACCTGTCTTATCAGGACAAGACAGACCTGTGTTATTGTGAGATGGAGGAATTACAGATTTGTAATAGTTCACTGCTATTTCTGTGTAGTATTTCTGAAGTTCTGGAAACAGAACCACGTATTAGCACAATACACTGCTTCCTCACCAGGCTAATTCTTGCAAGAGGACAGCAGTCCACATAAGGCCCTCTTGTTTCCAAAGCCTTAAGCAGTGTTATGCCATACAGATTCAAGATCCTAATGAAGGACAGGTCAGAGGATTGATATGCTTTTTGCTCAGGTTTAAAACAAAAACGGTAATCTAAGCCTAGAAAATTTCCTCATAGGTGCATATTTTTATATGGTTATGAAGAGATTTTGTCAAGTAAATAGGTGTTACCCAAGGCCCTACTGCTGCAAGCAATGGTGTTGGCCTCATTGGGTGGCCTTAAAGAAACAGCAGGAAAAGCCTCGTTTGCAGTTGCAGAGTCTCAGAGCTCCAGTGAAGTATATGGGAAATTGAATGATCGGACACAGTGGTCATGGCAGTGCATAACGGGGTTTCACAAGTAAGTATACATACAGCAAAGGAAAATAAGGTAACTGAATAATGACTTTGCTGATTGAGTGACTACAGAGGAGAAGACAGAAAATTGGATGTACAAACACAGCAAGGTAATGTGGCAAAGTGGAAGATCTCGAAGTATCCATAGAGGACATGAAAAAGTGTATTGGCACAGCATATCTGCCCTGCAGTAGCCATCAAGAATACTCCAAAATGGCAGCTGCTTTTTAGGAAAAGGCAGAAAACAGCAGTATGTGTTGATGGGAGTGCAGATCTCAGTTTGGTAAAAGATGATCGCTGGCAGCATGCCATATGCCTTCAGGATCCTTTTTCATTGCTAGAAGGATTCTGTATTGTTGAGATAATTTTGTATTGAGAGATAATTATTACTGCGATATTTGTTTTGGATCATTTAACATCAGGTGTCAGGTTGGAGAGCAGTTAATGCTACTATTCGTAGGTCTGAGATATTCCTGCATTTATAGGCAATAAAAGTATACTCAAAAGATCTGATGTCACAGAAAATTGTGCTGTTTTAGTCTTGGTAACGTATGAGGACGTTATAGAAGATGTGATTGTCAGAAATAGATTGGATTCAGAGATAACAATGCAAATAAAATGTAAAGGTAATTCAAAAAAGGTCTGTAACTAACTTCAGCGTTATAGACTAAGTGCTTGAGCAAAGTCAGTGAATTGAGAACTGTAGGAATTCATTATTCACCAGGTACTGTGGAAGGAGAAGGCATCAGAAAAAAAAGAGATTGTTAATGAACTTCTTCAACAATCATTTCATTGCTAAGTAATTAATGACGAGGGCACATAAACCAGGAATTTGCTCAGAAACCTGTGAGACATCGGTACGACAAAGTCTCAGAAACATCATAGAGAAAAAGCATGAAAACCGCAGTAGTAGAAATGCAGAAGACATGCCAGGAGAAATGCAATCTGCTGTACATTGGAAGTGAATAAGAAAGTACGGCATCACTGCAAGACAAGGAGTGATTAAAATGGACTAATACATGGAGTGGTCACACTTCTGCAGCATTTACCAGCTTTTTTCAAAACACCGATACAGCAGAACGATTAATTCTTCTGCTAGAATATTTTGCTTTACCACGTAAAGAAAATTGTATTCTGTTTGGCCACTGATGAATGCTATTAGCAAAGTGGTACGGGTAGGTATTAGAAGAGTATGAATCCATTTTTTCCAGTAAATAAAGGTGTAGCAATATGTACATGTATGAGATATATGGAGTCCTGTAAAGCAGTCTCAGTTCCAGCAAGAAGAATTCAGGATGGGCTAAGTGTAGATAAGAACTACGTAAGATGAGGGATCTGGAAAGGCTGCCATATCAGAGAAAGCTAAAAGAATTTGGCATATTGAGCCTAGTAAGACCAGGACAGAAAGAAAGAACTCCTTGTCCTTTGTAAATCTTCCAGGGAGTAAATATCAGAAACAGAAAAAAATAAGTAGTTGATGCAGGTGCTATCAGCCCTGGGAAAGTTAGCGTTAAGTAGCGAAGGCTGTGCTGCATCAGAAAATTAAAGCATGATTAACCATGAAAGTAAGAACAGCTTCACTTGGTTTCTTCTGGGAATAACAGAAAGAGAAAACTCCCAGGACTTGTATTATGTGAGAGCTTTGCAGCATTGCAGAAGATTGCTGCCTCCACGACCTGCTGGTACTCCGGCCAGTGAATGTTCAGCACTGAGCACTCTGTGGGTGAAATCTACCTGCTTAGCAGGAACTATCTGGCAGAGCTGATGAGCGTGTTCCTGCCTGGGCTCCTAAACAAGTCTGCTCAGAAACCTCTCTCTGCCTGTGGATACAGTGTGCCTCTTTAATTAGGTGAACACATATTTAATGGTGTTTGGATTGGCTTTCTGTCCTTAGCCATACTCTGATGAGTGCAAGGTTACCTGGGGCAAAACGAGACTGATGGTATTGTCTGCATCCAGTGTAATATGGTTTAATCCACATCAGCTCCCACTGCTGTCATTCTTAAGAGATGCCCGACCTTTGCAGTTTTCAAGCATTTTAATGGCTCACATCTCCCAGCTTTGGATTTTTTTCTTCGAACTCAATCTTTAGTCTTTTCTACATTAAGGATTTTGATTGTTTTTTAATCCTCTAAGCCTAGGCAAATTTAAGGTAGTAAATATTTGGTAGCTTACCTGGCAGAGCTATTGTTGGGGATGGTAGTGACTAGGGTTTTAATCCTATTGCAAGTTTTCCATATGGATTTAACACTTTTCAGTGTTAAATCAGAATCAATTGTTCAAATGTCAAATGCTCTGATGGCAGGTTAATAAATGTCATTTTATACTCTGTGAAGATTTATATATAAATCTGTCATATGTGCTTGTTGGAAGCATGGTTCAAATGTGCTCAATTAAATACCAACCCAGCATGAATGCAGGTTTTGCTTCCAGAGCCCACAGTGATTAAAGTGTGACAGAAAAAGCGTGCTTTGCTGCAATTCCTGCTGCTGTGGTTGTTTTTCTGCTGTATTAGTAAAGAGATTTCATTGCCACACATTTGTTTGGGGGCCAGTTAGACATAGGAAAATTTTGACAGGTGGCTTTTGTTTTTATTGATTTCTTAAAGATTATACCTGGTTTGTAAATGGAGCAGGAAGACATTTAGATTGTTTCTTGTACCATATCTGAAAAGAGAACTTCACATCAAGGGAAAATAATATCCGGTGCGTGTAATTCATCATGTATTACATCCGTATTAATTATGTATTTCTTACTTTACTAGCACTCCTGCTTTGTCTTTCTTTTGAGTCTTCAGGACTTGGCCTGCTTCTTGCTTGCAAATTACTTGATGTGGAGGCTCCCGACAGCACTGTGGGGGGCTGGGTGCCCATTAGTGCTTAGGAGATGTCTCCAGCACATCCTTATTAGGAGGCATGTCCAGATGGAGCGCATACCACAAGCCTTTTGAAGGCAGAAGAGTGTTGTGATAAGGAGAGAGGGAGGAATAGAATAATCCCCAAGTGTAAATCTCGGGGGCTCCATACCCACTGGAAAGTAGCAGATCCCCGTGGGATATCAAGAGATGACATGCTATTTTAATGCAGCTTACACCATCTGTTTTTCTATTTTGCATTTTTAATTTCACTTTTTTGCCTGAAAATCCCCATCCAGACAGTCTGTCTGACTTACCTAGCAGTCAGTGTTTCACTCTGTATTAAAACAAAATAAGCAGTGTGGTAATTGGTTGCAGCACAGGCTACGGCACTGATGAGGGACTGCGGCAGTGGCATCTTTATCAGCACAATCCTGGGAGTGTGATAGTAAATCCCCCACATCCCTCTCTGCAGTTGAACACATGAGAGGGAGACGGACGGACAGAGTTACTCATAGCAGCCTTTGTCCCTCTGAGACTTCTTTCCTTCACTTACTCAGTGGCCGTGACTTGTATCCATGCTGGTTTTTTATGATCTCAGCCATTGCAGAGGGAAGGAAAACTGCATTGCTCAAGGTGTGATACATGGCTGTGCTCCTAGTAGACTGGAGGGAGATGTCTGTAACAGGCTTCATGCAAATAAAATGACAAGGGCTGATGACAGGTATTGAAAATCAAGCTGCCATTAGGGAGTTTTGATTGTTTGGTTGGAAATTGGAGAGGCTCTCTGTGGGTGCTGGCTCTTGAAAAAGGTTAAATCTTCTCTGTTTGTTAGAAGTGCATGCTGTCCAGGCCAGATTCAGATGAGCTCAAATGGTGCGTTCAGTCAGTACCTCTCTCCACAGCCATTTGACCTTCAGATTATCCTCTGCAGGCTGTTTCCTCTAGACACCCATCAGGGACGCAGAGCACTCAGTGTCAGCACTTCCTTGCCATGTTTATTTTAGACAGGTTCTTGGTCAGTCTCTTAACAGCTTGAGTGGAAAGTTCCCATTTCCAGTTCATGGGGAAAGGTGGTATTTTGGGAGGGATCTGGTAGCTGCAAGAACCTTCTTTTCTTGAACTAGGTAGAGAAATATGGCAGTCCTCTTGGGAGTGTGGTGAGTAATGCCTAAATATGCATGACAAGTAAGTGTCTAATATAGGCAAGCTGGACCTCACTTTAAGACTCAGTGA